GATCGGAACAAGAACGAAAATAGGCTTTCGCCCGGTCCAACTTAAATTTTAATGTTTCACCTAAAGCAGACATGAAAATGTCCCAGTTGAAGTTCATAAACGTTCGGCATGAATTCATTTCTATATGACCCAATCCTGGACGTAACAATAGACAATCTGGTTGAGTAAAGTAAAATTTGTCATTCGATTTAGCTATGGTTCACCGATCGAGACATTTTTATGAAATCATCATTTCATAAAAATGAAAAACGCCATGTCTCGATCGGTGAACCATACATTATTGATCCTGCATTGTACGAAAATATATTACACATATTACGAGATTTGAAAGTTAAGATTAAACTCGACATTACATGAAAATAATGTCGAATTCTAATTTTGCCTACTTATTTTTAGTCAGAGTTACAATTGTCTAGAGATCTTTCAGTCAAATTTTAATTCCTAGTCAAAATTAGAATTTTAATTCTGCCTAGTCAAATTTAAAATCTGCCTGGTCGGGATACTACTTTTTTTCCATATCCTGATCGGGATATAGGAGGTGTCCCCTTACTGACAGGAACTTCTTTTTTTACCTTACGAGATCCATATTCCTACAGAAGAACTTCGCGTCTTTTCCCGCAAAAGATCATGTTTCTTCACAAGAAATCCATGTTTCTTCCTGAAGAAATCCATATTCCTAAACTAGAACTTCATATTTTCTCCCAAACTATTCCATGTTTCTTCATAACAACTTCATGTTTTCTCCTGAACAAATCCACGTCTCTTGACAAGAACTTCATCTTTTCTCCTGAAGAAATCCAGATTTCTGCACGAGAACTATTTGTTTTTTGTTTGAAGAAATCCGTGTTTTCTCACAAGAACTTCATTCTGTACCTCAGGAAATCCATGTTACTACAGCTTGATTACGTTATTTTTGACTGTTTTCTTCGGTTTACTGTATTCCAGTAAAACGGCCGAGATTTTTTATTTTTATATGCTTGGATACAGCATTGATTACTCTACCGAACTCAACAGTTTTAATTTGATTTATCTCTCATCTTGCCTCCAAAATATAAGTAAGTTTTGAAAGCTAAGTTTCGACAGTCAATAAAAACTTTTTCTCCTAGTAGTGTATGGATTTTTCTTAAATATTTGTGACCCACCGAAGAAATGACTCGTTTTTCTTTTTTAAATAGCTGGATACAACATTCATTTCTCTATCGAACTGTATATTTTTCATTGAATTTATTTCTTATCTTAACTCAAAATTTAGTGAATTTCTAAAAATTATTTTCGTAGAATTTTCAGTATTTTTTTCTCGAGTAAATTTGAATTAGCCAAATTAGTCGGCTAAACATTCGAATTTTTTTCATTAATATATGGTTGGATAGAACCTTCATTTCTCTATTGATTTATGCAATTTTCGTCTGATTTAGCTGAGGTCCTATAGGTAGATTTTAGATTATGCAACTAGCAGTGGAAGTCTGTTTTTTTTTCATTAGTGCAAAATTGCCTAAAGTTTCCGCAATAAAATTAAATTTTCTTCTGAAATTCAAAACTATTTCATTTAATACTTTTTGCAACTTCAACTTCGATAAATCTCTTCATCCTAAAACCCTTTTCGAGACAATTGGATTTAGTCTTATTAAGATATGAGTATGCAAAACCTTTTTTACCGGTTGTGAAATTAATTAATTTCTAGGAAACACGATACGAAATAGGACAAGTTAAAACTGTTGAGTTCGATAGAGTAATCAATGCTGTATCCAAGCATATAAAAATAAAAAATCTCGGCCGTTTTACTGGAATACAGTAAACCGAAGAAAACGGTCAAAAATAACGTAATCAAGCTGTACACAATATCTTCATGTTTTCTCCTGACAAAATCCATGTTTCTCCACAAGATGTTCTTGGTTCCTCCTGAAGAAATCCATGTTTCCTCACGAGACCTTCATGTTTTGAAGAAATCGCGCAAAAAATCGACGTTTCTTCGCAGGATCTTCGTTGCTTTTCAAAACAACTCAGCGTCTTTTCCGGCAGAAATTCATGTTACTATACTAGAACTTCGTATTTTCTCCTGAACTAATCCATGTTTCTTGACAAGAACGTCATGTTTCTTCCTGAAGAAATCCATGTTCGTACACTAGAGCTTCATCGTTTGTCTTCCTCTTCTTGTGAAGAAACATAGTTTTTTGCGGGAAAAGACGCGAAGTTCTTGTGTGGGAAAATGGATTTCTTCATGAGAAGACATGAAGTTATTGTGAAGAAACATGGATTTTGTTCAGGAAAGAAAATGAAGAAGTTGTGAAAAAATATGGCTTTCGACAGGTAAAAACATGAAATTCTTGTAAAAAAAGTGGATTTCTGCTTGAAAAAGCATGAAATTCTTGTGTTAGTTCCTGTGAAGAAACATGGATTACTTCAAGAAGAAACATGAAGTTCTTGTTAGGAAACATGGATTTCTTCAGGTGAAAACATAAATTTCGCGTGTAGGATGATGGATTTCCTCTGGAAGAAAAATACAGTTCTTGTGAAGAAACATGGATTGGCCCTGGAAAAAACATGATTGGCTTATGAAGAAACCTGCATTTCTTCAGGAGAAAACATGAAGTTCTTGTGTAGTAACAGGGATTTCTGCTGGAAAAAGCATGATGTGCTTGTGAAGGAACGTTGATTTCTTCAGGAAAAAACCTAACTTGTCACAAAACATGGCTTTATACAGGATGAAACATTAAGTTCTTGCGAAGAAACATGGTTTCCCTTACGAAAAAACATTAAATTCTTGCGAAGAAAGATAGATTTCTTCTGGGGAAAAGGTGAAGTTCTAGTGTAGGAACATGGATTTCTTCAGGAAGAAACATGAAGTTGTTGTCAAGAAACATGGGTTTCTTCTGGAAAACTGTCCTTACAGAATAACTTTTCCGTAGAGAAAACTAATGTTCATACATATGCCGATTACACTTGTCCCTGGTGAAATCTGGAATTTGATCAGGTAAGAGTGTAGAATGCAAACAAATAAAAGAAAATCTTGCCTCGGGGACAAATGGCACGAGCAAAGCGTTAAAAAAACCCTTACATTCTTGATTTTCTAATCTTTTCTATCGACTAAGGAGTAGAAAAGCGCTTCGGAGACTTGTAATATCCACTAGTAGGTAGGTTTCTAGAAAGAAATCGAATAGTGTATAATAAATTATATCCAGGTCTATTTTCTCTAGAGATTCACCATTTTAATCTCGTGTTATTTATTGATCATTCACCGACTATTCCGGGAACGACGAACAAAATCCTCTCACCATTGTGAAAACTAGAATATGGATCTTCTTTTGCGGTTTATGAACTAGAAGACAACTTTCATTTACAGGTGAAATTAGGTCCATGCTCCCTGGGTATATAAATGAGTTTAATATTATTTTTTCTATTTCGAGTTGCTACTGATGATCGTCGATAACATGACCATGATTGAATATGATGTAGAAGACGTTGACATAATCGACAAAAATGTTGTCAAAATATTTTCAAAACACAAACATTAATAAGAATTATAAAAAACATTAAATATTATAAAAATCTGTTGATAAATAGATCATAGGAACGAATTGTGCTTGATCTAAAATCAATTATTTTCATTGTTGCCTTTCGGATGATTTCACAATATTTCTCGTTAAAAATTTGTACACGATATGTACATGTAGCCATACGCTAGTTCCATTTATTTCAATTATAATTTCAAAGATTGGAATAGTTTTTTCTACTATCCAACTCGAAATATAAGGCCCATGGATGTTTTTTGATAGAAATGAGATGGAGTCTTGGGATTTTTATCATTCAAAAGAGAAGGCTTAGAGTCAGGTTTCCGTAAGCGGAAATTCTTCCAGAAGAGTTTGTTAAAATTTGTTTTCTAGGAGATCTTTGAAAAATCGGGAAACGGATGGATTATAGATATTTAACATGCTGAGTCTTTTTCGTTTAGAAAAAGATTTTAACAACCAATATCCCCGTTTTTCAAAATCAGTGTTTTCCGCCTGTATTTACGTAATATTAAAAAAGTTGAAGGTGTGGTTGATGCTGTCCGCTAGACGTGATTATAATATCGAACAAATTGAAAAATCATGTTTGTTGTTAAGAAGCTTTTCAGAAATCCTTTCCCAAAACGATGGGTTCTTCAAATCTCTTGTGTAGATTTCTCATAAATAGAATAAAAAGTAGTCTAAATACTGTACATTCGTTTAGGTATTTTTCAGTGAAATATTAAGTTTTTCTCTCCACCGCAGGCATAAAAGTGGTTAGTATAGCATATAAACTTTCGAAAAAGTAGCTTCTACGGACTAACCAGCATATCGAAGCACTCGTAATGTGATGAATTTTCTTGAAAAGTGTTAGAGCAAAAGGTAAGCTCGTCCACTCCACTGCTTACAAAGTGACAACGTGCTTTAGTTCCGCTGTGAGATTACGAAGTTCCCGTCGAAGATGGAAGATTTTTTAAGAATTTGTGCCGTCACCGCGAAGTGGCAAAAATCTCGGGTCAATCATGTCGTACTGCTGAGCACTATGTCATCTTGCTGAGTACCATGTCATACTGCCGAGCACCATGAAGTTTACTAATTATTTATAAATTAATTAGGTAAATTAAGGTTCAGTCCAAAATTCTTTTCAGGCTGTCGGCTCGGGCCGAAAAATCATCGGAATTTCGGACCGGGCTGAAAATTCGGGACAAAAAGTTCGTGGGCCGAAATTTAGGCCTCCCAAAATCTCGGACATCGTCATGAATTTTCATTACCACTCTTTTTCTATGTTCTAACTTCTATATCTAATGCCAAAAATATCGACTTTTCCATGATTTAAAAATCTATTGTTTTTTTTATATTGTGCAAATGTTTTTATCTCGAGTAATAAATAAAACCATTACATGCAGAGAAATTTAATGTTCATTGTATGTTAAAAGAAATAATATGTACGTATACATGTCGCAGACAAATGATACAATAACTAATCCATTTATTAACTGATTGCATATTTAAAACTTATTTTTTTAAGTTAACTGGAATATCACTGAATGTTTTTGGTTCTTTATCAAGGTGTTTTGTTGATAATTTTGATGATATAAAATAATATATTTGATCAATTTCATTATCATTCATTGTTATACCAATTTTCGGCCATTGTTGTGTATCTAATAAAATATATTTTTCTCGACCAGTGTGTCGATGCAAATCAGCAGGCCACCATATTGGTGATAGTGCCATACCCCATAATTTTATTTTAGAAAAACCTAACTCATCTATATAACCTAATTCACATTTATCAATATCAGCATATTTTATCATTTTTCTATTACCAAATGGAAAGTAATAATCATGTACTATTAAATAATTGTCATAGCATGTCACATAATCATTTGTATATACTGGACTCGATAGTTTTTCACTCATTTTATTCTATCTATAACACAATAGAAAATGACGTACATCAAGTTTACGTATCTATTAGTTATACAGCAAGAAACAAGGGCGTTTTTAAAATGGGAAAGAAAGCGATACTTGCAGTTTCTCAGTCTTTCTTTGTGAAAATTTGCAGCATCTTCTAATATGAATGACTCTTTTACGTAAAAAATGATAAAGCTGTAAGAATCTTCTTTTACAACTTTTTAACTGAACTGACAGAATTAAGTCTTAATTTTATACACGTGCACAATAAGTATATACGAAATGTAATGTTTTCTTTCGAATACTATGCCGAATAGTGTTTTTACAAAATGATAAAATATTGAATCTACCTTTGTTCAACATTTTATTGTAATGTACAACAGAAACTTGTTGTCATTATTATTATCTTTATTATTATTATTAGTCATGATATGGTGTCACGAGATAAAGAAAAAGAAGGTATGTATTAAGTTCTTTGCAATATTGACGATGGCAAATAGAATGACTTACGAACCAAAAAGAAAGTTTTATCTCTTTTTTCTTCTCTTTCTTTTTATAAGAAACATCATAAAATACAAGATACGAAGATTAAAAGCGTATGACTGACTAATTGTTAAAAAGGTTACTCTGTTATTTAGTCAATGATTTTATTTTTGCGCTCTATATATGACATTATAATAACACACATATCGAGTGTAAAGTTATATCTGTTTAAGTACAAAAATTATAATAAACACAAAATTGACAGTTTAAATAACAATATAATTTCTTTTGCCATACATCTATACGCATGTTGTAGGATAAACTGGAATTTGGTGAAATTCTAGATTTGACTAGATAAAACACACATTCAAGCTTTCCCTAGAGAAAACTAAAATGCATGCATATACCGATTCCACTTTTCCGTGGTGAAATCTGGAATTTGACTAGGTAAGAGTGGAATTAATGTAAAAGGGATAGATTTCAAGTTATCGAAACAAAATACATTTTTTTACAAAGTTTAATGAAAGGTCACATTGTCACTTTTTGTGTATTTTCTTCTTCAACCTCCACCCCTAATTTTATACTCCAAAAATCACCAAAATAAAATTACACGTCCGTTGGATTAGGCCTGTGACAGTAGGTGGCCCCCGTTCAATAAACGTCAACGATTTTTCAGTTTCCGTTGGTACACCAGTTCTGGTTCCTGCGAACGGGAACTACAGTTCTTTTTGAACCGGAAACTGTATGAAATATTTAAGCTTCGTTTTCTAATCTACTAGCGTATCTTCTGTTCATACAGTGTAGTGAAATTTTCTTTTCCTTTCAGTTTATAAAAACAAAGATACAGGCACACATGCTCTTCGTAGATTTCTATAGAACCTAGACATAATGTAGATGACCTATTGATCTTTCATGTCGATATTCTTTATTCTTTATTATTCATTTTTATTTTCGAGTCTTTACAACCAATGTTTATGATATATGCGTAAGAAAATGGCGTAACAAGAAATAAGAAAAAGAAAAGTACTGGACGTTCTAAGCCTTGAATACTAAGTAAAATAGTTAGAGAGAAGAATATGGAAAAAGGCTACACTGGTAGCAGACAAAAACTACTACATCACGAGCTGAACTTCTCCAACATGCGTTTTTGAACTTAAGTAGTATATCAAGATCTTAAGAAGTAACGAACTAAATTCAATCAGCAAAGTCTACCACCTAATCTGGGAGTCTCTTTGAGCGTATCTCATTCCAACGCTCACTCTTTCAAAATCTTATGTTTGCGAAATGAAATACATAATATATCAACAAATCACAAAAGGACACTAAGCAGTTTCCAGTTCAAAAGGAACTGTAAATCCCGTTCGCAAAATCAGAACTGGTGAACCGTTTCTAGTTCAGAACGGGAACTGAAAAACAGTTTCCATTATCGAGAAACTGCAGTACAAGGAATTATGAACTGTCACAGGCTTACTTTGGACGGAGGCGATTATATATAGATTATATTATAGATCACATTTTTGGATCTTTTTCTCTCAGTTTCACAGTTCCTCGCGACTATTATATATCATTCGAAAGCCCTTTTTCTCGCAATGTTTCCGCATATCACATATACGAAAATAATCGTTTTGAGGCCAAGTATGTTTAGAAATATGTCTGGCTATGGAAAATGATCTCTTGCGTGCAAAAAGTCTCAGATATTCTATGTCAACATTTCTTATCCGATCACGTGGTATGCACCAGTTAAAAACTGGCGTTCGGGCATCCGGGAGAATTGCCGTATATCTGTTATCACGATTGACTCAGAGCTGTGAAACATCTCATTTTGTAGAAAAATGTTTGTTCTACAAAATGGATTTGCTAAAAAAATTCCAAAATGATTTCGGAAAAAAACTGTTCGAACAGTTTTTTTTCGTGAGTTAATGTGTTTTAGAATGCTCTAAGTTTTCTTGGAAATGATTTTGGAATTTTTTTAACAAATGCATTTTTTAGAACAAACATTTTTCTACAAAATGAGATATTTCACAGCTCTGAGTCAATCGTTATAACGAATGTAGGGCAATTCTCCTGGATGTCTCAACACCAGTTTTTAACTACCGCATACCTACTACAGTAGGTATACAGCGGTACTGTAGGGATTACCTACCGACCACTACAATAAACATACCATTCGATAGAGAATTTCTAGAGCTACAATTTAATATATATACATAATATAGAGAAAAAAGTGTTCTAGCGCATCCTGACATTAGAAATGTTTCTGTAAAACTATGACAAGCGGGTGACTTGTTCAGTAGCGAGTATCCTATGATCAACATTTCTCATCCGGCCAACATTGTTAATAAATATACCATTTGGAAATATTCCATAACGTGGTAATTGATCGAAAAGTAAAGGAGTTCTAGTGTACAAAAAGCGTTTTAAACGAGAGATAAAGATAGAGGGGAAAGAATAACGTGTTATATACGCAAGACTACAAGAAATTTTTCTTCTATAAGTAGTGTGTGAATTGTATAGTAAAAATAGCTTTTCAAGTTTTCAGACGGTATGCCAATATGTTTTCTATCTCTGTTTGTATGTTGAAAAGTCTGAATCGAACCCCCGTATTTGTAATCGCTGTTGTCATTTGTATTATAATTGAAAACCGAATAATCCTGAGTATGATCAAATGATAAAACAAATATGTGGAGACTTAAGAGAGGGGTCTAGTTTTAATTTTAACATAGTGGCTGGGTAGTCTAGAATAGTCTCTACAATTCTGCACAGGGCCGACCTCTTCATCTGTTGTAGTTCTCGAATGGCAGGCATTTAGCCGACGAAATGATAACGAATTACGAGTGTCTCAGGAAAATGACTGCCATTCGAGAACCACAACAGATAGAGAGGTTGGCCTTGCGCATAATTGTAGAGAACACTTTGGACTACCTAGCCACTATGTTACAAGTAAAAATCCATCGCAGATTCAGAATCTGGCAACCTTATCGGTTTCCATCAGTTAGGTACACCCACCTGAAAAACCGAGATTTTTCGTACACGATATATATGAAGATAGAGTAAAGCCTTCTCTACAAAACGCAGAAAATGCGAACTCTCTATTCCTTTCACTCTCGAGTTATTCCAAAAACATCCATGGCAGTTGTAGAAACCCCGTTTACCTAAAACCGAGTACAAATAACTGCTTATCGGTAACATTTTGAAAAGGCAAATACAGGGATTTGTAGAGCTTGGAAATCTCTCTCGAATGATATATTACTTTACCTTTAGTAATAAACCGTTAATGTTCAAATAAAAGTGTAAGGCACCAGAGTGTTATTGATTAATATTCATTAGCACTGATTAATTATAAATTATTGTCTTAAAAAAAATTTTTTAAAGCGTTTTACATCAGACCATAACAACAGTCCATTGACTATCAAGAAATGCATGAATGACTTTTTTACGATTATTTTTGACTGAGCGACACGTTTTTTAAAATGAGTCTTAGGACTTTCAATTTTAATTAAAATTTAAACTTAATTAATTAATAAATCTGTGAATAGTTATCAGTTCAACGTGAAGGACATATGTAATTAGATGTCCACTTCAAACCGACATAGTTTGAGGGCACATATAGAGGGGGTGGATCCCCCTTAAATTCAGATAATATGTTAAACGATGAACAAGTGCGCCATACAAGTTTTTTTCTCGATGCGGTTTTGCCATTTCTGTGTTTCCTCCGTTTAGATGGAAGTAATTGAAGTAGATAATGTTTCTTCAGATGCGTCATCGGAGGGTCAAATGCAGAATCAGTTCAGTCCTATCATCAACTTAAATCCATTCAAACTACTAATGTCTGTAATATTCCAGTGAACTGTACTACATAACAGAGCATAGCAAATCAAAGTGAATGCTTTTTTTCTACCAAGGTTTTGGTTACTTCAAGAGTACCGCAAAGGAGTTTGCTGGTTTTTTTATTTTGTTTTTTCCATTTAGAAACGAATTCCCTGACATTTGTATTCCCAAATAGAATATTGTCCGTTGTCACTCTGAAAAAGTCATTTTTATGACTTAAGTCAGATTTTAACTTAAGTTTTTTCGTGAAACGAGTCTCTGAACAATACATATCATGGAAATTTTGTATCAAAGTGGAATTAATGTCGGCTATCAAAACGCTTTTCTTCAACTAAAGTCCTTTTTGCTTGCGTCAGAATTTCGCAAGTGCATAAACAACTTAGGAAAATAATATACTACTTTATGAACTCACATTTCGATGTAAAAGTCATCATCTCTCAGTTATTAATTGGGCAAATACAGCTTCCGAATAACGTGTCCTAAACAATATAACAACGATATAAGTTTGCTTATAATCCTCGTGATTGGCAGCATCCATCTCGGGCATACAACATTAATGCATTTCTCTTGATTCATATACATCTGTACATGCATTCAGCTTGCAAGTTGCATGTCTGAAAATGTATGCGGCGTGTCTGTGTTCGTGCATGTACAGACAACGTACGTATCAAGAAATTGGTCTTGGGAAAGCGAAAAAATTGGGCTGACATCAGTGACTAATGACTAGTGCAAAATTTTAACCGTTAATTAAAAGAAAATCGTCCGTAGTAGTGTCGCTGACTAGTTTGACAAGTTATATACTGACGACGTCTGGACTAGTCTAAATGAAAGAAAGATAGAAAAATAGATTAGAAGCGAACATGCGACATTTTGTTTTACATGCCTGCGATTGAACCAACTGAACCATTGCGCAATCAGTTTATCTATCAGTTTCTGCGTGCTAGTTTTTAGTATGCATGAAGAATATTTTCTGGAAAATTTAGGTCTTCGTTGAAACTTCCGAATAAATAGTTCTGAACAAAAAACTTTTTTTTAAAATTAAACTAAAAAAAATAAACTAAAACAATTTTAGTCCATGGTTGCATGTTTGAGCCAAGCGGAAAGTTTTCGAAAAAATTCTTTGCTCAAAAATCCCTGCAATATACATCGTTCAATTCGTTTTTCAGGTGGATTCATCACCTAGCTTCAGTTTCAAACTCACATCTTTCCGGTGAAAAAGTTGAAATTATTAGGACAATTTTTCCAACTTCTTACTACCGGCTACATTTGGTGTCTAAGTTTCTTCATAAAGCTACTATTGATAACATTGTAAATTACTCTATCTTATACAGAATTATGTGCTCTACAAAATGCGACATATACTTCTATGTATAACTGAACCGTACATTATTTTCCCAAAAGACTAATCAGAAAGTGCCTGCTGACGGGCACAGCCGTATTTGACTAGAACAATGTACCAGACGTCAGTTTCTTCGCGCAGACGGTGTAATGGTTCGAACTAAGACGATGGAATTATTCATGTCATCTTTCTTTTCTTTAGACTAGTGTAGACGGGTATAGCGGACAAAACAGACTATAGTCTGTTTAATTCGTCTAGCCTGGAGTGTCTCTTCAACCCGTCATGACCAGAGTTGGAACCGGTTTAATTTTTCCTAACCGGACCGACCGGTTTAATGCGTAGTTCAACCAGTAATAAACCGGCCGGTTCAGTTTTGGAGTTCAATCGGTAAAAAGCCGGTCGATTCCATAGCAGATTAAAGTTCGGATTTTGTGAAAAACCAATATTTTGCAGAAAGATAAGCTTGGGTATTTTCAAAATCTTCCTGTTATGGTTATTCCAGTATTAACGTGAGGTATTGAGCACGAAGTTCAACCTAATACGAAACGAAGAAAAATTCACGGACTAATTTCTGATGGTGTATGAAACTAGTTAGACATCATTTCTTCCCTTCGTAGTGCAATGTTTAAGAATAAACTAGAAAAGAAAAGAAAAAGAAAACAATTGTTTTTTCATGTATATATATATATGTAATCTCTTTCGTATAAATTTAGTATTGAAAAAATGCCCCTATGAAAGGAGACGAAAGCTTCACTGTATTGTTTTTTAGAAAAAAATAAAAAAGTAAAAAAATAAAATGGTTGATGAACTTGTTTGTCTTATTATCTCATTATTCAACTACATTTCATCAAATAATGTCGAAAATTATTAAGTTATGCTTCTAATGTAGTTTTTCAATTATTTTTTGATGGATAGAGAAAAGCACAGACACATTAATTGACTATGTCGAAGATTCGAAAAATCGCTTTTAATTGTCGCACTCGATGGTGCATGTTCAACAAAGTAACAGCTACTTTTGTTTTATACATAAAAAAATATTTTTCTCTTTTGTCCATTTCTTAAAATATTTTTCTCTTTTTGCGTCCATCAATTTGCGGGTGTGGGTTGCCGTTGTTGTTTTGATTGTCGACTATTTTTCTCTTTATTTTGCATTTGAATATCTATTTCACTTCTACAAAAACGCCATAAACAAGAGAACGTCTTTGATAGTATATGAGTTAGAAGTTTGTTAAGCCTTACTTATATCGATAATCATATAGAAATTGGGTTAATTTACGTCTACCTGCCATCAACCAATATTCATCAAATTCGTTATCTGATTGACACCATTTTAATCGACAAGCAACGAAAAAACATTGAGTCAAAGCAAAGAAGAAATATTCTAGATAAGTAGCTACGTTTTAATTTATCTATTTTTTCTTTTTTTAATGGTATTAACTGCTCTTCACCATGATAATCTTCCAAACAGGCAGTAAGTAATTCAGCATGTGTAAAAAATTTTTTTGCAACTTTAATTGCATAACCATTTAAAGTTGCTGATTTCGGTATATTCAATGGACTAAAACCATCAGCATCAACAACAGTTGGATTACATAGATTGTTTACTGGTTCAGCAACCTAACGTTGATCATGAAATTATCATATGAAAAAGCAATGCAGAGGAACTGACTAAAGATGGAAGAAGGGTTGTTTTGCTCGTAGTACAATGTTTTTATTTTTGTAAGAAAACTCTTCTGAAAAATGTTCTGATTAATATAAACTCAAACTCTGAGAAGATTCTCTCTTTCTTGTTTTCTACTACGTTTTTGGTGTTTGTTTGCGGTGATCAACTTTAGAACTAAATTTAGAATTAAAAATAATATACTTACAATAGCAGCAACTAAACGCCGTAAATTTGTTTGTTCACGTCTAATAGAATCTAATTTTTTATTAATTTGTTCAATAACATCATTTTGTTTGATAAGCATATCATATATTTGTCCTGAACACAACAATTTATTGCCCATACAACACATCACTATCCTACAAATTATGTTTTCATGCACACTGATTAGATTCATGTCAGAGATGTAACCGGACCGGACGCCCGTTCTCGGTCCGGTGGAGACTTATGAACCGGCCGGTTGGACCGGTTCTGGTCAAACTGCCGAACCGGGCCCGACGACTTAGATCGGGATCGGTCACAACTTTGACTCATGTTAGAGTACTTTTCAATGAGATAGATGACGAGGTGGTTGAAAAACTCAGTCAAGGGTTTAGTTTAAGTAAGATCAATTTTATTCAGATTCAATTACACGTTTAAGTGTGTTAGTGTTCTGCAGATTGTAGCAAAAATCAATTCGATTTTGAGATAACACAAAGGGCCGGGTCGACATGTTAAAAATTCTGCCTTAACACATTATGACAAACTGTTGTGAGTCACAGATCTTAGAATTACACTCGTAGCAGAAAGATCCATTTGGCGTTTTTTCGCACTGCAATGCAAAGCGGCATTCAATACACAAGTTTCAGCGCATGATACTGATTTCTTTTATAGAATACGATATAATACTAATTTTACTTGTTGGTTTTCCGTAATGTACAATCAATGAAGAAATGTCGTTAAACGTTGCATTTTCCGGTATTACTGTTGTTGTCACATTATAATTATTATCGTTAGCATCAATAATACTTGATATTGTGTTAGATGAGGCTGTATTTGCCAAACTCGTTATTGGTAATGTAGGTGAAACTGTTATTCGTGGGACTTTCCAGTAGGAGCAGGTGGTGGAATATTGAAAAAGCTATTGTTTCCATCTTGCGTTGGAGCATTTTCATCAGAAATACAATGTGCTGCTAATAATGGATCACTGTTAACTGAGTCTAATAAGAAAAAGAAAACTTCGATGCTTTTGTCTACTAAGTCAATTAAACAAGATAAAGGGTGGGCCAGAAGTCCTGACTCGGTTTGAATAATACATTTTTCTATAGTGAAACAAGTGGTTGTAAATTTGTCTCTATGAAGAAAAGATGCAGTAAAAAACGCTCTACAAAATGACGATTGATTGACCCCGTTAGCTCATCTAGTAAGAAACTTATAGACTTAGAAATGTGCTTCACAAAAAAGAAAAATTAACCGTGAATCCGGTCTCGGTATTTTTCCTTTAACTCCTGTTCCTTAGGTCCCCTAGAACAAATTCTTTTTTTAACAAAAGCGTCGTGAAATTCT